TAAACTGAAGGATGAAGTGTTCCTTTATGTGTTGATGTTGAATGTTTACTACTTCTTCAGCTAAATAAACTTTTAAAAAGCCTCTTGGATCAGATATAAAAACCATCATCACAAAGCTGAAAACAGGCTGTTTGTTCTTTTTAGAGATACGTGGTTCTCACAGGACAGAGACGCTACAAACATGATGATCTTATAGAATATGATGCATTGATGTAGATTAAACTAGTACTTTTGCTGAAGTAAAGCATCTGAATACTTCTTCCACTACTGGAGATTAGGCTCGGTAAACAGAAGCCTTGTAACTGCTTATTAAGAACATTTATGTTTTTGGTATTTGTTTAATATTTATCTGTTTTCTATTTCAGCTCATCCGACTCAGACGAGACAGGATGTGAATCCCGTTGCTTTAACATGACGGTAAGACGATATATTACATTTTTATTAGAGAATATGCTAAACATAATTCACTATCTCTCATATTCCTATATTTTCACTCTTATGTATTCTAACTTTCAGATGTCCTTATCTGATATTATAAAGAATATATGTATGTGAGATGAGAATGTTTGTACGTATGAATACACTAAATGTATTTAATAGGGATCCAGGTCATGTCCTTTAATACTGGGCGTCTGCTGATCTTATATTTACATAAATAATGATTAAATATGTATCTACTGTAATGGTAAATTAGTATGTATTTCTACTCAGTATATTGTATTCATGCATAAGTCATTTTGCTCTGAACTCTGTTGAACTTCCCCGTGTCTCTGTTGTGCAGAAGAAGAGTTCACCCTCACAAAGATAACTGTAACGGTGTTGTGTGAGAACGTTCCAGCGCCAAGGCCGTCTGGCTGTTTGTTGTTCATTGTGATTTCTATCAGTCTGAGACCAAAATGTCTGTAACATCGACACGATATGTGGAAGAGTCGTCAAACTTTGTGACTCAGATAAGGAGCAGCACCTGCAGGATGTGATAGTTTCTATTCTGTGTGTGTGTGCGCAGGAGGTTCAGGAGGAGATCATCAGACTCAACGAGGGACTGGATCTCGTGGTTTCCCAGAACCAAAAAACGCTGAAGTCTGTCACCACTCTGCTGATGGTGGTGAACAGGATGAATCGCTCTCTAGCTCGCTGTGGTTGGGGGCTCAGCGATGGCGAGCTCTGCAGCGCCATCATGGAGAGCCTGGTGACCGGTGGGTAACGGCGACGGGACGCGCTGTTTTTTAACTTCATTAAACGTTATCCAGAGCCGAAGTGTAGCCAGAACCTTTGGCTCCAAGAGCAAGAAAAACCTCATTCAATATCCCATTGACTTTTGACGGGTTAAACGCCAGTGGCTCAAAAGAAGAGGCGAGTCTGTGAGACGAGGGCGGAGGTGGAAAGTATTCAGATCTTTCACCTAAAAGGTGCAGAACTCGAAATTCAGAGCATTTTAATTGCCTCCACACGGCTCTCAACATGGCGACGGCTAACAGTGCTAACAACGCAGCCGGCCCGGCTTTTGTCAACAAAGCAAGAAGAAATACAAATCTAGCACCTTTAAGTAAAAGTAGTAATGCCACAGTGTAGAAATAGTCCGTTACAAGTAAAAGACCTGCATTCAAAATGATACTTAAAGATACAGTGTGTGGTATTTATTGGCAGAAGTGGAATATAATATTAATAAGTGTTTTATTTCGTGTCCAATCGCCTGAAACTAAGAATGAACAAACTGTCTCTAGACAGTATCGCACACCGTAGTCCTCCAACACGCGTGGCAAACTGTAGAAGTTTCAGTTGGTTGCAATCTGCAAACCCACCACTAGATGTCGCCATTCCTACACTCTGGACCTTTAAAACGACTACAAGAAACTTTCATTTTGTGTCAATTTTGGGGACCCCTGTAGACAAAGGTGGTAGTGTTTACGATCATCGGAGTCTCTTTAGAAAACCTCTCATTTTACTGGCGGCAGGGTCTGATGGATGGAGGGATGGAGGGATGGAGGGATGGATGATAGATGGAAGGATAGATGGATAGATGGATAGATGATAGATGGATGATAGATAGATGGATAGATGGATAGATGGAGGAATGGACGGACGGACAGTCTTCTTTCTGTAGCCTGGATGCGATGACTTCAGCTCTCTATAAGACGCTCTGTTCTCACCATGTCTCCACAGAAACAATCATCACGATGACCGAGAGCTCGTCCGCGGACCTGAAGAGGAGATTCCGGCGTATCAGCAGCTGGGAGGTTTGTACTCTGTGTGACACTTCACAGAAAGAAGTCGTCCAAGCATCCGGAGACATAAAACTACAGGCCATCACTCTGAAGGGAGGAAACTGTGAACGCAAAGGTACCTCAAAACTATTTCTAAATCTACTTCACTTGAGTATTTCCAGTGTCTGCGACTTTTTACAACATTTCAGAAGGACATATTGTACTTATTACTACATTTATTTGATACATTTTTACAGAAACGTGATGTACTTTGATGATATGATGCAGTACTATACTACTCACCTACCCAGTAGTATACAAAGTATCTAAAAGTGGCTCCACATTGACGAACTACAACATTAAAATACTCTTATATGGATTTAGAAGTGATAAAAACTAATATATTCTATAAAAATAAAACACTTGCCATTCTCCATAATTTAAGTACATTTTACTGATAATACGGAGTATTTTCGGACTGTGGTATTTCTACTTTTACTGAAGTAAAAGACCCGAGTACCAAAACAAACTGTCCTCTCTGTTTTCCCTCATCAGTGAGTTTTAAAGTGGCGAGGTACCTCAACCCGAGCGTCCCACCTGGAGACGTTCTGACCGTCCTCCTGTCCATCACCAACAACCAGCACATCTGCTGCTCCATGGAGGACGGACAAGCTGTGCTGAAGCTGGAGGTCACACTCACACACACACACACACACACACACACACAGCGACTGTTATGGACTTTTATCTCATATTCTCACACACACACACACACCGACTGTTATGGACTTTTATCTCATATTCTAACTTAAATCTCACATTTTTGTACTTTTTCTTGTAAATTTGACTTTCTATCATAAGTCTGACTTACCAAATTAAATATTTGACTCATCATGAGCATTTTGTTAATAATGAATAACATTTCATCTCTTGTTTTATCCCCCTTTTACTGTTAGAACTGTGCTTTCATACATCAAATAATGAATAAGATATATTTCCTGTTTATCTGTGTCAGGAATGCTGCAAGCAAAAGTTACAAAACATCAGCGCCGATGAAGACATGGACCGGTTCCTCTTCTACAAGAGAACTGAGGGAGTCTCTCTGAACACGTTCGAGTCCGTTAAGTGTGGCGGTTGGTTCATCAGCACTTCCTGTCAGGGTGAAAACCAGCCGGTGGAGATGTGTAGAAGAGTAGAAGTGGACGCTGCTCGCCGCCTCAACAGCTTTAAACTAAATTAGAACACGTTGCTGTAGTACAGTTTGAATGTTTCCAGAAATATGCTGATTTATATTTGACCTTTATTCTGCTTCACCACCAGATGGAGCAGCTGTCTGCTAACGTTCCCTCGACCTGTCTTTAATAATTCACGAACAGTTTGACTTTATAACATTTCTACTCACGGACAAAATGTTTTGTACTAAATTAATTCATCTCCTTTGAAAGAGAAAGTTGTAACAGGATATTCCTCACAATGTGTTCGCTTATTATTGTAAAGAAAGTTACATTTGTTTCCATAAATACGTCTCGTGTGTGTTGTTTTGTTGAAACAGACATGAAACAATTAAACCAAGTTTAAATGTGTAATGCGTTTAATCAGTCTGAATATTTTATGTGTTTTCTGATGAAGTATTTCAGGTGTGATCAGGTACTCTAGTACTTTATTAAAAGTGTTTCCATGAAGGATATAAACGACATGTTAATCTTTGTTTTTACAAATCATACAGTTGCAACAAATTGTCTCACCGATGCGTCAAATAACGCAGTTTAATGAGGCCGAAGCTAAAACTGACGATCGATGTCATCAAATAACGTTATGACTCAAAATGACATTATAATAATAAGTGTGATAAATTCAGATTGTGTGTAAACAATTCACAGATGAAAATATAAATGTAGACACAGAAATTCAAAGTCATGAGATAAAAAGTAAAAAATATGAGATTAAAGCCACATTTTTGAGATTAAAAATCCTAATTGTCAGATTAAAAATCAAGTTATCAGCTGACAGTCAAAATATATCAAATAACAAGTCAGAATGTTAAGATGAAAAGTCAGAAATACGCGATAAAAGTCTAAATTATGAGATGAAAGGCCAGATTCATGAGATAAAAAGTCAAAATCATTAGATAAAAATCACAATTTATGAAATAAAAAGTCAGAATATCATTCAGTACAGGCACAACACGGCACATAACACAGAGAAACATGAATAACGTTATTATAAATGATATGTATGAATAACAGCCTGTAATCTGAAATTCACAGCATGCTCCAAATTAAATGTCAATCTGCACTTCACCAAAAAAAGAGAGAAAGAAAGAGCTTTAAAAGAAACTCCGGCCAATCGGAGGCGGTTGAGAGGACGTCGACTCCCCCCTCATTGGTGCAGCCCACTCGGGTTTGCATGGCGACACCTCGGGCTGTCTCCTCCACCTCGACCTCCCCACCAATCAGAGGCGCTGCGAGGCTCCGAGGCTCCGCGAGGCTCCGCGCTGCGTCGTGGGTGCGTAACGCAGATTACGGAGCGAAATGCGTTTAACTTTAAAGTGGGGAGAAAAATGGAAACCGAAGAGGTCAAGTGATGAAGAGGAGGAGGGGGGGCATGTCGGAGCATGCACGAGGCTCCGTCCTGCAGGACACTTCTTTGAGGATGCAGACCGTCTTTAAAAAGGTTGAAATCATCTTCTGCAGCTTTTATAATTTATGGACACACGAAAACCTTCACAAACCCCCACTCCTCGAGTTATAGTGATGACAAGAATAATCACGTGTCAGTATGTGTGAGTATGAGGGACACACACGTGTATGTGTGTGTGTGTGTGTCTCCCTCTGCCATGCACATTCCCGGCACATGGCAACAGAAGCTAAATATAGCCCCAGCAGCAGCTCGGCCTCATAGCAGGATCATGCTTCCTCTCCTAATGTAGGATCCTCCCCGCCGCTGCCCCTGTTTCTCTGCTTCCTACAAACATGGGCTCCTCTCGTGTGCACCCCCCCATCATCCTCTGCAGATTCTCTCCTTCTGTCTCTGTGCATCTTATTTCTTATTCTTCAACCTGATTGTCTCCTTTGTTGCTGCACGTTAACACTTTAACCCAAATACGCACACATGATGGCAGTGTCGTCAAATAATGTTCTTAATATCAACATTACATAATAATCTCTTGAATCCGATAAATTCAGATCGTTGAATTGACTTAAATATGTGTAAAGAACTCTGATGTCCATTTTGACATAAATACTTACCAATAACAAATACTACTTCTATAAAAACAAAACATTCTGAGATAGAAAGTCAAATTTATTGAATCAAATTCACAATTTATGAAATAAAAAGTCAAAGTTATTTGATGAAGTAAAATGCATGTAATAAAAAAGGTCAAAATTATGAGAAATTAGTTGCAAAAAGAAGTCAGATTGTATAGAAGTCTATGAGAAAATGACTCTACTTCTCT